TCATTTATCCAACATTCTGGAATGCCCTTTCTGATGGAATGCAATTCTGTGCAACCTTGCAAACCTTCAAATATGCACTGAAATTCAATTCTAATCCCGATATGTTAAATGATTTAACAAGTCTTTGTTCTGTCTCTCTCTTTTGTTTATCTCTATAATCAAATATCGTATTTTACAACACTATAATATAAAGAATATGAAAATAAGAATGTGAAAAGTACTGTTACCAAGCTGTGTCTTATGGTCAATGACTGTACTGGGGTGTATGCATTTCCCTTCAGTATTTGGTAAGCTGCCTGGGGTTTGGATAAATAATTATTGCAAATGTATTTTTCAAATATAGATAGTAACTTATTCCTGAGGGAGAGTTACTCTTGGGGGGGGGGGGGGTCAGTCAAATAACCATTAACATCTATTACGAATCCACGCGTAGGAATGTACATTATTTGGCAAAATAAAGATATTTGGTTTTGCTTTTGATCTTTTATACAGCTGAGAAAAACAATGAAAACGTTCAATGTTTTATGAATAATTCCTATTAGTAGGCTTGGTACAAAGATATACATTTAGTGTAATTCAACAAATATTATTTATCACAAATCAATTTATAATAATGTTTGTGGGGCTGGAGTCTTATCTGCAGTCAGAATAATTTAGGTAGGAATTCATGCATTTCAAATATTGGAACGTTTCTGATTTTACATTTTTCCTTCTTTGAAATGACACACAATATTTTTCTTATTAACAGTATCTCGGAGTTCCAATTGCAACATCATTTTAACACTGATATAATAATACCTGAATGACTGCGAAACATATGCTTGTGAAGTCTAATTCATTCTGATCAGTGACAAGATACACGCTGTGACTGATTGCTCGTCCCCAAAACATGCGAAATCATTTGAATACAAACACCACTAACCACCAATAAGAGACATTAAAAGCCAGGAACGCAAAGGGAATCGCTGATCTGTACAGCGACATGATCCTCTCTCGTATCTTTTCGAGACTCGTGTCCTTGGGGCTCGTTCCCGTCTGGGCGTTCAGGAAGAAGCCGGCGACGTAGTCCAGAAAGATGATCACCATGATGTTGAGGAAGAGAAGGCTTATGGCGAAGAAGAACCAAATGTCGATCATTTTGACGGCGGCGGTGTCGGGGACGGAGCGAAGCAAGTTGGAAAAGAGAGTATACAGCACCAGGAGGTTCGTGAGCGACAGATTCGCACTCACGTTCAGGTCCTTGAGGAAGAGGGCCGCCCAGCTCACCAGCAGGAGCAGCACCGAAGGTACGAAGGTCGAGAGCAGGATCACTCCCTGCCGACGGTGGAGTTCGAAGCCGAGACTCAGTTCAGTTCGTGCGTCGTCCGTGGAGCGAAACGCCACCCCCTTGACCGTATAGAGAGCGAGTTCCTCTGGGCCGGTGTAGGTCCCTGTCCAGCCCTCGAGCGAGAAGCTGACCCGGTCCTGGTAGGCGCGGGAGAGCTGGAGGTTGATGCTGCACTCCTGCTTGTCGAAGGGGTAAGTGTGGAGGTTGAAGGAACAGGCGAACTTCGCGATGAACTGGCGAGTCACTGTGAGGTCGTTTTCTGTTCCGGGATATGTCAGATCTGCAAAGAAATCGTAAATGGAGTTTAAAGATTCATAATCCTATTACAAATATAACAATCAAAATTCATAGATTAATCAACATGTCCTCATGGTATTCTCGTAGGTTTAGAAAGAATTGGAGCTCTGTATGTTTGAGCAGCAGACCTCTCTCTATGCTGTTAAACGCGGGCAAAGTAGCGTTGTTAGCTGTGGTGATCATGACCTTCTCATCCAGGACCTTGGGCTGCCCTCCCTCGAGGTCCAGCAGCTGGAAGTCAGGGATCCACATTCTATCCGCTTGCGTTGCCGGGACCGGCGTCTCCTTCCCGGGCGTCAGGTGCTGGAAGCTGAGCCTCTCGTCGCGCCAGGCGAGGGTGGTGAAGAACTCGAGCGTGACGGACATGGCGATCTCATCGATTTTAGCGATGCGGGACAGCGTGACAGTGGGCGTGAGAGTGAGTGCAGCGTCCGTGGGTCCTCGGGGGGGCAGATGGGGCTGGTAACTGCTCCCGATTGCAACAACGTCGCAGTTTTCTTCGTCGCTGCCGTCAGAACAGTCATTCCATAAGTTACAGCGAAGATTCCGCTCGATACAGTCTCCCGAAGAGCACACGAAAAGATCGTCCGTGCACGTTGACAGAATCATTTCAAAAACACTTCCCTTCTGCATGTCGCAGACCTGCTCGACGGCCACCCAGCGATGAGTCCCCACAGGATAGCTGTTGCGCCCGACCTGCTCCGTTCGAGCCACGCTCACGTTCCGGTCTATGTCATGCAGGCGCCACGCTTCGTCTCCTTCGCTCCAGAAGATGAAGAGATCCTCGTGGCCGCGGAACACCAGCCGCCCGCCGAAGTACTCAGCCACCCGGAATTTCCTCTGACAATCTGAGTCGAAGCAGAAGCCCCTGAGGTACAGGACACCGGGCGTCGGGAGGTGGCAGATCGCGCACTTCTTGAGGCTGCACCGGTGATTCGCCCAAGTGCCGTCGTCCAAGAGCACCACGCACTGGAACAGATTGGACCTCATTGGGTACGGCTTTGCAAAGTTGAGGTACTGCGCCTCCTCGCCGCTCTCGACGGAGATCCAAGTGTCGTTCTCCTCCTTGTGGGCAATCCCGAGCCAGTACTTCCAGTTGGATCCAGGTGCGCAGCTGTCCATGAAGGGCTCGGCGTTCTTAAGAAGGATGTCATTGTCGTAGCTTGAGGACGGCGCTGGCACGGTGCCGCCCAGGACCCGGCACTGCGCCAAGGCTGCCTGGAAAGTCAGCCTCTCGGACAGAACAGCATAGTGTGGCGTCTCCCTGTCAAGGAAGACGGCGCTGAATGAAATATATATACATGTATACATGAATAGATACACACAGAGACACATACACACATATATATATATGTGTGTGTGTATAGATGTATATATGTGTATATATATATATATATATAATATATATATATATATATATATATATATATATATATATATATATACATATCCACATATCCACACATACACACACACACACACACACACACACACACACACACACATATATATATATATATATATTTATATATATATATATAAATATATATATATATATATATATATATTATATATATATATATATATATATATATATATATATATATATATATATGAAGAATCCACAAGGCTACCTACTTGCAAAAGTGACCAAGCTCCACCCTCGTGTCCGAAACGTTTCCAACAACCTCCATGTCCGCCGTGTCCAAACTGAAAACGTTTCCTCGACCTGACCACCCACAAGACGCCATTTTCCCAATCTCCGCGAGAGGCAGCGTTCGGTCCCAGAAGTTCAGCTGCCCGATTTCCCCGAACAGAACCTGGTGCATGAGATAAAAATGGTCGTCTTCTGTTTATATTTCTCTCTCTTCCTCTCCCTCCCTCCCTCTATCTTTCTCTATCTCTCTTCCCCTCCTGTCCTCTCTCTCTTTTCGTACCCCCTCCCCTTTCTCTCTCTCATTCCCCTACACAAAGCTGGTAATATCGAGGATTTACATAAGTATCGTCCAATGTCTCTGCTGCCAATATTTAAAAAAACATATTAGAGCATAGATTTCGACAGAGGCTTTCCACAGAAACTGCTCTTCTGAAAGTAAACGATGAAATATATAATACTAATGATAGTAAGAAAATATCCCTTTATTTTACTTACAGAGTTTCCTAAAGCTTTTGACAGTGTAAGCCACGACATCTGGCTGCATAACACTAAACACAGATCTCATCTGCTTCCGGGATTGTCTTACAAACAGATCACAGGCAGTAAGACCCAAGAACGGCGTGTCCTCCCTACGAAAAATTTCCTCTGGTGTTCCCCAGGGATCTGTGCTAGGCCCGGTCCTGTTCTAATTTGTGTGAATGATTTATCGGAGGGTTTACCAGGTTGTGTTGCAGTACAGTATGCTGATGACACTCGGTTACTTCTGTTTGGAAATACCGAATACATCTTGGAATTAATCGAAAGAGTAGAGAATATTAATAGGCGAAAAGAAAACTCGCAATTACAGGGTACTATTGTTATAAATTTTAGTGGAAATCATATAATATCAAGCACTCTCGTTAAAAACCTAGGAGTTTACGTGAATGAACACGTGGTCTTTGACGTACATGAAAATGAAATGTGTAAAAAGTGATGGAAACACTTATCCATCTCAACAGAAAAGGAAGCTGCTTTGAAACCCACACACGAATTATTGTTGTGCAGTCACTTTTGCTGAGCATCACTAACTATTGCTCGAGAGTGTGGGCGTCTCAAATAAATCTCAAACAGGAAGAGTTCAGAAAACAACATTTCGCATCAGAAGTATGACCACATATCCCTAGCTCTTACATAACTATAATGGTTAAGGCTAGATGATAAATGCCTATATGATATGGGCATTTTAGCGTTTTAGAGCTTGCATAAACATTTATCTGACTGAATATTTAACATATTTACCGTTAACGAACTAAAAGGTACTAGTTCAAGCCAGAGTAACACTTTTTTTGTTTGTTCCACGAACAGGTACTAATTTTGGAATGAAGTGCTGCGAGAGGCCTATTAATCTAGGATAGGATTCCACATCATGTCAGGAATACATGCTCCATTTCTGCTTTTAAAGACAGATTAAAACCGATTAAAGAAATAGCTTTTATCTAAATAGATTTGATTCTTGTGATACGCCAGTTGCTAATTTCTAATGCTTACGTTTTACTGTTATAGTTTTTTGTTGCTTTAATGTTATCATTGCAATATCTTAGATGTTATTAATAGAACTTTATATAATTTTATATCCTAATGCAATATTTATTTTTTAGTGATATATGAATACGACGTATAATATATCAGAAATATCTGTAATTTATGCACTATAAAATCATATTGTAAACCAATGTAATGAATACCCAAGGTAAATTGGAAATAAATATTATTATTACTTACTCTCTATCTATCTCTAACTCTTTCTCTCCCTTTCTCTCGCTCTCTTTCTACTTCCCCTCCCCCCTTCCCTCCCTCTCCTCTCTCTCTCTCTCTCCTTCCCCTCCCCCCTCTTCCCTCTTTCTCTCCCTCCTCTCTCTCTCTCTCTCTCCCTTCCTCCTTCCCTCTCTCTCTTACTCTCCCTCCCTCCTCCCCCCTCTCTCTCCCTCTTTCCCTTTCCCTCCCCCCACTCTCTCTCCCTCCTTCCCCAGCCTCTCTTATTCTCTTTCTCTTTCTCCCTTCATATCACCCTGCCCCCTCTTTCCCTCCCTCCCTTCCTCCCTTCCTATATCCACCTACAATACAATTACACATTCCCCTTACCTGATACTTATCGAAGTGTCCGCCAAACCTGTCTTGTTCTTGGCCAATGACCAGACTTCCATTCAGCGGAGCTCCAGGAACTCCCGCCAACTTCCCGCTCACGAATTCCTGAAGAAGAGTCGACATATATATATCCATTTCCGCTCGAAGCGCTGGGGGGCCAAGAGCCACACAACGCCGACGAGAAATGAGACACGGTAATGGCGCATGCGAATTGTGCTCGATCCCTACCTTCCCTCCCCAGTAAACGGCGTAGTTCTCTTCTTCGACCACGTGGCAGAGGTGATGCCAGACGCCGGGCACGAAAGGGAACTCGCGTGCCTGTGGAACGCGCTGGTAGACGCCGTTGACGAAGGCGAGGAGGCGGTCGTGTCCCTGGTCTGTCTGGCACATGGGTGGTGGTTAGCGCAGGCGTGAAGGGACCGAAAGAGTAATGTGTTGACGTTTAGGGGATAAAGAGTGTACCGAACAAGGGGAAAGGGAGAAAGAGAGGAAGATAAAGATCCGTATTCATCACTTCGTACGAGAAGAGAAAGGAAGAAACATACTCACACAATAGAATGTTGTTGGCATCCAGGTCACTCACGGCATAAGAAACGTGGGTGAAAAGTGACGCGGCCCTTTCGCCTCTAGCGGGGAGAGAAAACCCGTTACCAAATGATATGCTCTAACGTCACGTGTAGCAGATGGCTCTTGCTATACTGAAGGACACTGACCTGATCCAGTAGCAGATGGTGTAATTGAAAAGCGTGGGGACAGGCTCGTCCTCTGGCACGGAGAAGTTGTATCGTAGGAACACCTGGTTGGATGGCACCGTCCAGAGCCCTTGCTGCACGCCCACCACGCGGCTGTGGGCGTCGTCCGCTCTCGCTGACGAGCCGGGGAACGGGGAGAATGCTTTATATTTCAGGAATGTTCGCGCACGGTTAACAAATACAATCACACACACACACACGCACACACACACTAGATTGTAATTCATAAATCACTATTTTTCTCTTCTCACTTTACACCTACGTTGAGAGTTCCTGCATTCTGCTTGCAACATGTCGGGAGATTAAAATGGCTGCTCATGATTTCTCTGTGCCCGCTTATTGAAGGGCTATCAAAGGGGATTCTGGCTTGGATGACAAAGAACGGAAGGCCCTGAGTAAGTGCAAAGGCCATGCATCTGACGCACAACAAGTACAGCGCAAAATTCCCTCAATGAAAACCCGACTTATTGGTCTTGCATGATCTCAGTGGCACCCTGGAATTTCCTGTGGGAGTGAAAAGTTATGCTCAAGAATTTCCAGCAATTTTGCCTTTTTTTATAGCGAGAGTTCGAGGCCCTCTGTTGAATAACCCAAGCATGCATAATTCACATCCCCTCTGTAAGTTTTTACCTGATTTTTATCAACCTGCAAGAATTACCACAAGTTCTATGACCCTCAATTCAATGACATTTGATGTAAGTCGATCGTCTACAAGTCAGTTTTCTAGATGTTTTTTTACTGTTATTTGTAGACTGGAATAGATTGATTGCCTTCAGAGATTTTAACTTCTTCGACTTGATAAATTTAAAACGTCAGCTAACATGTTTTTCTTGCGTAATTAGCTGACTTTCTTTTATTCATTCTTTCTTAGCTTTATCTTGACCTGCACTGACACCTTTGGTGGCATAAATCTCGATTTTTTTCAATGTGGCTCATTATATAGCTCAATATAATAATAATAATAATAATAATAATAATGATACATGGGAAAGTGTCGCCTTAAAGATACTGGGGTTGAGTGGCACATAATAATGAAATTCAATCTTATATCCACCTCAAAAGTGGGGGTTTGGATAAAAGGTGAGGGTAACCAGGCTCCTGCGAGTCGGGCCAACAGCAAGTAGGTTATTTAGGAAAGAAAAATCATGAGTAACCCTTTCCACCAACTTCAAGGAAGATGTATAGCAAAATTCTAAGAAAATCCGATAACATAACACAGACATGCATATAAATATTATATATAGTGTATACACATACATAAAACAAGCAATTTATCATGCTATATATCATAACATATGTATATATATATATATATATATATATATATATATATATATATATAT